AATGTTCCTGATGTTGGGGAAGTCCAGAAGTAGGGATCATAGTCTAAAAATAAGGGGTAAGCCATTCAGGACTGAGATGAAGGAAGAATTTCTTCACTAAGAGTCATGAACCTGTGGAAGTCTCTACCACAGAAAGTTGTTGGGGCCTGTTCGTTAGATATATTTAAGAGGGGGCTGGATGTGGCCCTTGTGGCTAAAGGTATCAACAGTCAGGGAGAGAAAGCAGGAGTGGGATACTGAAATTACATAGTCGGCCATGATTGTATCGAATGGTGATGCAGGCTCAGTGGGGCGAATGGCCTACTCTTGCACCTATTTTCTATGTTTGCACTAAAGCTTTTTAATTTAATCTTGTATTTGCAAACCCTTGATTTAGGTCCTCAAAAATTGGAAAGGGTCTGCTTCTAACCATCCTCTTATCTTTTTTAAATACTATTATGCTGGTCATCATTTGGAATTTTCAACAAATAAAACCCCCAATTTTCAAATTATTCTTTGAACTTGAGAACTTTGCAGCTTTTGCACTTGTTCATTGACCTATTAATCAGTTTCTTCTGAAATTCTCCTGTATATTCACCACTGCTGATGTGAAGTCTTGCATCTAATTCCCTTGATTTATGTCTTACTGTTGCTTGAACCCAGGATTATGCTCATTCTCAGGTAATGGTGCAAACTTCCCCTCCAAGCCATTCACCATTGGGAATATATGATCTTTTCTTCAGTGTCACTGGGTTAAAATCATGGACTTCCCTCACTAATGGCAATGTGAATGTCCCTACACCAAATGGACCGCAGCAGCTCAAGAAGGCAGCTCACCTCCACCTTCTCAAGGACAACTAGAACATAGAACATTACAGCGCAGTACAGGCCCTTCGGCCCTCGACGTTGCGCCGACCTGTGAAACCAATCTGAAGCCCATCTAACCTACACTATTCCATTATCATCCATATGTTTATCCAATGGCCATTTAAATGCCCTTAAAGTTGGCGAGTCTACTACTTTTGCAGGCAGGGCATTCCACGCCCTTACTACTCTCTGAGTAAAGAACCTACCTCTGACATCTGTCCTATATCTATCACCCTTCAATTTAAAGCTATGAGTGGACAATAGATGCTGGCCCAGCCCACAATTCCCACATTCCCTGAATAAATATGAAAAAAAATCTAGACAACAGTATCCGACATGACCAACAGTGCACCTTCCACATTTGTCATCTCTGCACTGTAGCTCTGTCCTTTTCTAAAAAGATTTGCATGTATTGTACCTCTCCTTCACAATCATTTATTTATTACTTAATTTGCTGAATCAGCCATATTTTCCATCTGTAGGTGTGATGGCTCACTGCCTGGATGAAGGTACTGTGAACAGCATCACTGTGGAACAGTTCAATGGCAAGGACTGGGAGAAGACCATGAAGGAGCACAAGACCATACAGAATTTGTCTAAGTCATAATCTAAGCCAGGGCCAGGCTTGCAGGCTAAAGTGAGGGAGCAGGTTTGAAGGGCACTGACAGGTACAGGAGGTTCTTACCCCTGCCCCTAAGGTCTCCCATTACCACCACCATCTTTGTCCAACAGTAGCTTTTGCTACCCTACCCCAGCTGCAGGTGAAATGGTGATGGCTGCAGGATGAGGCCCTTCATTGGCGCAGGGACGGGCTAGCCTCTTGACTCTTCAACTGCCACCTCTTCCCCTGCCAGGTAGGCTACTGATGAATGAATAGGCCATGGGCAGGCCACTCACTGCATTTAAACAAGCCCCTTACCCTCTTTCAAACCCATGGGTAAAATTCAGCCCCAAAAAAAGGACTGAGATCATGACAGCTAGCTACTGACACCAAAGCCAGATTAAAAACGATCACAGATAGACACCCTAACATGGACAACATAACCTAACTATTTTAAAATACTGCATCCTTCGCCATGTAATTATTATCAAAATTAAATAAATTGTAAAGCAGCATAACTTCTCAGTGTTTCAGTTATCCCAGGTAAATTGCATGATAGAGGCAGAGTGTTGCTGCTGATGTAGTGAAAAGCATTGGTCCTGCATATGAGTAAAACAGCATGAAACCAAGGATGGTCTGTTCTGTGATGAGTTGATTATCCATCAACAAAAATTGACTTTACAGTCAATGTGAGCACAAGGCCTCAAGAAGCTAATGGGTCTTACTGTGAATCTGTGCAGACAGAAACATTGCCATAAATACTGCCATTTGGCTGCCAGACCGTATGTGATGGAATAGTGCGCACTGCAGTCAGGGAGATGGGAGAGGGAATTTTCTTCCCGAGCGTTTTGACTCTGGCTTTGTTTCTTTATATTCTCTGGAACCATGATGATCAAGGAGTCAATTTCAGTTTGGGTTGTCATTACATCATAAAGCAAGCCACAAACCCATATTGCATTTATTGATGTGTTACATATGAATCTTTAAAATATTCAAAACCACAATCAAATCACAGCCAATATGGTATAAACCACTTGGTGCTCATACATTGCAAACTGCATTGGCAGCTGCTATGAGTAGCATCAGCTCTTCACATCCTCAATGGTTATGAGTGGAGGAATATTACATGCAGAAGATGTAACTTCCCGCCCCTCTCCCTCCCCCAACTCTTTTATTTAAGGAACACTTTAGCTACACCTCCTCTAATTTTAATAACAGCGTCGGTTCTGCTATAACGCGATAGTTGTGTTCCTGTGCAATATCGCGTTGTAGAAAATTACGCTGTAGAAATAATGGGACCTATGGGAGAAGCCGGGTTAGGGGCAGACCACCAAAAAATATTACTCTATATCACTCAAAAAAAATCACTCAAAAGCCTAACACAAAGGATAGCACAGTTAAATGTTTAATTCACATCTATAATGGAATAAAATTAAATTTAATACCTTACCTTCAAAAATTGTCAAGATGGCTTGATGGGGAATGAGGTTTTGAGGTTGCTCTGTTGTTCATGTTGATCATGTGATGCCAGCACGGTGACCCTTTTGGCGCTAACATTGCACATGCTCAGGACAAAGCCCACAAAACGATCATGTGATGTCAGCACGTACTCCTCCGTGCACTGATAGAATCGCGTTATAGCCAACACAAGTTTGCATTTTAGAAATAGCGTTCCCATATTCGTCAGTCACGTTACAGCCAGTTTACATTGCCGGAATTCACGTTATAGCAGAACTGACTAGAACTCAAAGGAAATTCATGTATCGCAATCAATATAATCTACACAATTTATTTACGTTAAAGAATCCAATTACCAGCTGCATTAAAAGTCTTTGGCAGTTTCTGGCTATAATTAGCTAAAACTTAGCTCCTGTGCAATTCTCAACAAGACTATTAATTACTTAAATAGAAATAAATTTGGTCATTCGTCCAAAGAAAAGGAAAATCACAATTACAGGAGCCAACAACTGAAACTCTCACCACGATTTTAGTTGTCATCATATTTCTACGTAATTCCCTGAAAGGTTTGTTGATATATTTTCACCCAGTCTTTAATAAAATTTCCAGGAGGACGATTCTTTAGAACACCTCTTCAGAAGCTTCATGATACATAATAGAAGGGAGTTGTTATTGAATGTTACTGTGACATTAAATGGAAGGTGTTTATAAACATGTAACGGGAGAAGTACAGGTAGAGATGACGGAACCATTGTAGCTGGCTCTGATGACAGTACATTGCTTTCTGCAAAAAGATGAGAACAACTATTAATCTGTGCGTGAAGAGATCTGAATATCCACAAAGTTAGCATCAGTGATCACAGCAATGATTTCCATCCAGCACCACTGTGGAAGCATCAGCAATACAAAGTGAACATTCACTAACACCTGCTTAGGTACATAGTAGGTTAGATGCACAGTAAAATTCCCTCTATACTGTCCCAGCAACTACTCCTAGGACAGGTATAATTTACTGCTATTACGTCTACTAGACTACACAGGATATAAACAATTCCTTTGGAGGTTTAACAAGGACTGGTCTTTTGAATTGTGTTATTCAGTTTGTGTGTGAACCATATCATCTTTACTAGCTCCAGAAAGCATTCTGGGGATTAAAACCCAGAGTTATAACTGGAGTTCTGCATCTCTCAGGCCTCTCATGGGATTTTCCATACCCAGCTACAACATTCATGGAAATTCCCATAGATTCACAGGAGGAGGAAATGGGTGGTTGCAGTTAGGATTAGGGTTGGACAGAGATGCTTGGTATACAAACAGAAAAGGGAGTTAGACATTTAGATGCAGACATAACCCAGGCATTGTTTGAACCTACATCTGATTCCTAATATTTAAGTCTTGTTTATTTTTTGGAAAGGTGCAACCAGGCAAAACCATCAGGAATCTGGTTATCAAGCAGTACACATTGTTACTTCCATTTACCTTGGCCTGTTGATATTCCCAGCTGTCTAATACATACATCACATTATGGGGCCTCATCCAGCTGATCGGCAGGTCAAGGATGGAGATGTACTTACGGAGAATGTTTACGGATTGGAGTACAAAAATTTGGCACCCTGGAAAGGAACAGAAACATTTCAAATGAATGGTGAGCACATTGGTGAAGGAACTGCTCTGCTCATTTGTGGGCCTTGCCTCCTCAGTGATGGCTTCTACAATACTGGGCTCCATCTCCAGTCAGCAGGGCCTGACCACCACGTCACTAATGTTTAGAGCATAGTTGAGCTCTGGTGCAATGCTGAATCAGTCAATGTCCTCAGGATGGGAGGAAAACTTGTAAAGAAGGTCAGTCTCACCAAAGACACACACCTCTGTAAATAGATCACATTCAGAATGTTTTGCTTTACCTTGAAATATGGTCAAGATGTTTGTTTTGTTTTGACTGATATGGTATTATGGGTTATGTAGTTGTCAGCAACTAATTTGACTGGAAAACCAGAAACTTTGCTGTATAGTTGTCATCCAACTTCACATTTAATTTAGATCAACTCTAAAAATGTAGGAGTCAATGAGGTTCAGGATAGTTCATGGCTTCTGAGTTCAGACCACAGGATTGGTCTTCTGGTTACTGTGCAACAAGTAGTAAAATACTGAAACCTTTTGAACAGTGGGTAAAGCAATACACAAATGAATTAAAAGCTGAAAGAGCTGCAGATGCTCTAAATCAGAAACAAAAACAGAAATTGCTGAAAAAACTCAGTAGGTCTGGCAACATCTGTGAAGAGAAATCATAGTTAATGTTTTGGGTCGGGTTCTGAGGAAGGGTCACCGGACCTAAAACATTAACTTTGATTTCTCTTCACAGATGCTGCCAGACCTGCTGAGCTTTTTCAGCAACTTCTGTTTTTGTTGTGACACAAATGAACTACTTCAATCCAATCCCCTAAAGTTCATATTTTTTAAGTGACCATATTGATTTAGCATCCAACAGTGCTGATGTGATATGAGTGTTGTAACTAGTATTAGATAAAACGATGCATTTGACCCATTGCTTGGAAGGTTACACTCTCAGGATTTACTGCTTTGGCCTTGAAATATTACAGACTTTCTAGAAATAAGTAAAATATTTTAGCAGAGAGCTTTTGGGAAAGTCATAGGTGACTGATTACTGATTACTCACTGAAACTAAGTATGGAAACTGTACAATAATTAGGAAACACCGAGGAAGGTTGACTGCCGATGTTTCAATAAAGTCTCACTTTGATGGATGTACGAGACAAACATTTCTCTTACCATTGGGCAGTTTCTTCTTTGAATAAAGTTTCCTGTGAATATACAACAGAAACATTGAAATCAGAATTTTACAGATCATTCAGTCAATTTGATCTCTGCTACCTCTTAAACAAGTGTCCATTTAGTCCTTCCTTAATGAAGAGAAATCTGATATCCAGTCTGGCCTGTCACTCCAACTGCATGCCCTCTGAAATGCCCTCACAGCCAGTCACTTCAAGGGCAAATAGAGAATAGAGCAAATAGGTCCCAAATCCTGAAACAATTATGCCTATGTACCTAAGTTCAAGTTTTAAATGTCAAAAAGAGCCAAAACAAACTGCACATCTATATTCAATCTGATGAACAACAGTTCACTGCTACACCCTGCTTTCTCTATCTCTGAGCTGATTTTGTAACCAGACTGCCACTATCCCATTAATCTCATGGGTGCTTTAATATTACTAGTAGGTTTTTCAGAAAACAATAAATAATGAGTTTTCACGTTTTAAGACTTTTACTGCAATATGTCTGAAAGCACTCAGATAGTGGAGTGGCACTGCTAGTCAGGGCTAGTATAGCAGCTACTGAAAGGCAGTTCAAGAATGATATGTCTGCAGAGTCAGTTTGGGTTGAGGTCAGGAACAAGAAATAAAAAAGCTATTACGAGGGGGCATAGTTTTAAAGTGAGTGGAGGTAGATATGGGAAAGACGACAGAGGTAGGTTCTTTACTCAGAGAATGGTCGGGACGTGGAACATGTTGCCGGAGAGGGTAGTGGAGTCAGCCTCATTAGGGGCATTTAAGCGGCTATTAGATAGGCATATGGATGATAGTATAAGGTAGGGGTGGAGGTTAGATAGACCTTAGGATTAGGGTAAAAGTTCAGCACAACATCATGGGCCAAAGGGCCTGTACTGGTCTGTGTTCTATGTTCTACGTTCAATATTGAGTCCAGAATGTAAGGTGTCTAGTCTGAAGATGAGATGTTGTTCCTCCAGTTTGTGCTGTGATTCACTGGAATATTGCAGCATGCCGAGGACAGACAAGTGGGCATGCGAGCAGGACGCTGTGTTAAAATAACTGGCTACAGGAAGGTTGGGGTCATGCTTGCACACAGACCAGAGGTGTTCTGCAAAGTGCTCATCCATCCTGCATTTGGTTTCTCCAATGTAGAGTAGGCCACATTGGGTGCAGCGAATACAATACACAAGATTGGAAGAGGTACAGGTGAAATGCTGCTTCACCTGGAAAGACTGTTTAGGCACTTGGATGGTGAGCAGGGAGGAGGTGAAGGGGCAAGTGTTGCACCTTCTGTGGTTACATGGGAAGGTGCCATGGCAAGGGTGGGTGGTGTTGGTAGTTGAGGAATGGACTACGGTGTCCCGGAGGGAACAATCCCTGCGAAATACAGATGGGGGAGTGAGGGGAAGATAGTGTTTGGTGGTGGCGTTTTGCTGGAACTCTGATCATCTAGAGTCATCTAGACGCAAAACATTAGCTTGCTCTCTGTCCATGGATGCTGCCTGATCTGCTGTGGTCTCCAGCATTTTTTGTTTTCAGTAAAGTCTCTGAGCTACCGAGTAAAGGCAATAGCAACAATTCCAGCATCCCACTTATTTAGCTTCTTTATCATACAGCGCCCCGTGACCTTGTAACGTTGGTAAATTGGAGCCAGCAGTCATAGAGCATAGAACAGTACAGCACAAGAACAGGACTTTTGGCCCACTACGT